GCGGGGACGTCCCTGCCGCCCCGGGGCGCTCACCTGCTTGTAGAGCTCGAAGTGGGTGAGCGGCAGCTCCACGGCCTCGCGCACCTCCTGCTTCTGGATGTCCATGCCGCCGATGTCGGCGTAGACCACGTCGGGCTTCTGGTCTGCGCGGGGACGCGGGCGTCACCACGGGGCCACCACAGTGTCCCCAAACGGGGCCTGGGGCAACCACGGAGTCCCCAGCCTGGTGCCACCAGGAGGTCCCCAGGGACCTTCCCACCCCAACTGTTGATCACGTTGACCCAATGTCAACCATCCCCTCGACCTGGTGCCACCAGGAGGTCATTGGGGCCTCCCCTGCTTCAACCGTTGACCCAATGTCAACCATCCCCTCAACCTGGTGCCACCAGGAGGTCATTGGGGCCTCCCCTGCTTCAACCATTGACCCAATGTCAACCATCCCCTCAACCTGGTGCCACCAAGAGGTCACTGGAGTCTCCCCTGCTTCAACCGTTGACCCAGTGTCAACCATCCCCTCAACCTGGTGCCACCAAGAGGTCAGTGGTGTCTCCCCTGCCCCAACCATTGGCCACGTTGACCCAACGTCCCCATGTCCCCACGCCGGTGCCACCGGGAGGCGCCGGGTCCCCACCTGAGCTCAGCATCATGATGCTGCTGTCGGCCTCGGGCGGCAGCACGTCCACCAGCGCGTTGCTGTGCTTGTGCAGGGCCACCGACGCGTTGGGCTTCAGCAGCTCCCGGTCGATGGTGCTCAGGATCCGCACGTAGTAGTTGGAACCTGCGCGGGTGGCCCTGGGGGTCCCCATTTGTCCCTGCGGGGTCCCGGGGGGCTCCGCCCCGTGGTGGCCACGGCCACGTCTTGGAGGTGCCCCTGGCCTTGTGGATGTCCCCAGCTCTCCATCCCCGTGACACCTCTGGTCTTCCTGATGTCCCCAGGCCACGTGTCCCCTCGTGTCCACCTCTATGTCCCCATGATACTTGGTGTCTTCTGGATGTCCCCACCTCTACGTCCCCATGACACTCTTTATCTTGTGCTTGTCCCCATGTCCCCTCCTGGCCACCTCTCTGTCCCCAAGACCTCGACCTCCTCAAGCCACCAGAGCCCATCCTTGTGTCCCTGGTGTCCCCAGCGTCCCCATCCTCATGTCCCTGTCCTTGTGTCCCTGGTGTCCCTGTCCTTGTGTCCCCGGCGTCCCCATCCTCGTGTCCCTGTCCTTGTGTCCCTGGCATCCACATCCTTGTGTCCCTGGTGTCCCTGTCCTTGTGTTCCTGGCATCCACATCTTCATGTCCCTGGCATCCCTGTCCTTGTGTCCCCATCCTCGTGTTCCTGGCATCCTCGGTGTCCCCATGTCCCCGCGTATCCCCATCCCCGGTGTCCCCACGCACCCGTGGTGGAGCCCACGATGGCCGTGCTCTGGTCCACGGCCTCCAGGAACTGCCCGATGACCAGCGGGATGCTCTGGATGCGCTTGACCTCCTCCTGCGCGTGCAGAAACTCCTTCTGCAGGTGCCGCTGCTCGTCCTTGATGTACTCCTCCTGCACGCCCAGGAACTCCAGCTCCTGCTGCAGCCGCTGCGCAGGGGGACGCGGGTCACCACGGTGCCACCACGCGCTGCCCGAGCCCAGGGGACATCCCTGGGGCCACCAGACGCTCCTCAGGGCCATGGGGACATCTCAAGAGCCACTAGATGCTCCTCAAGGCCATGGGGACGTCCCTGGGGCTACCACATGCTCCTCATGGCCATGGGGACATCCCTGGGGCCATGGGGACATCCCTGGGGCCATGGGGACGTTCCCAGGGCCACCACATGCTCCTCAAGGCCACGGGGACATCCCTGTGGCCATGGGGCCATCCCTGGGGCCACCAGACGCTCCTCAAGGCCATGGGGACATCTCAAGATGGTCCCCATGTCCCCGGGTCCCCAGTGTACCCCATGTCCCCATGTCCCTCCCTGTCCCCCCGGGTCCCCATGTCCCCCCGGGTCCCCCTGTCCCCAGGGTCCCTCCGTGTCCCCATGTCCCCCCCTGTCCCCGTGTCCCACCTTGTAACGGCTGTAAAGGTCCTCCAGGTCCTCCATGTCCCCGGGTCCCCCTGTGTCCCCGTGTCCCCCCATGTCCCCGTGTCCCTCCACGCCCCCGGGTCCCCAGGGTCCCTCCGTGTCCCCATGTCCCTCCCTGTCCCCCCCTGTCCCCGTGTCCCACCTTGTAACGGCTGTAAAGGTCCTCCAGGTCCTCCGGCTCCGGCACCAGGAAGGAGAGGCCGCCGGGGGGGCGGGGGGCCGCCGGGGGCGGGAGCGCCTCCCCG